TTGCAGCTAGGGCACTTTACCATTACAATAACGACTCATTAGTGAAGCCAATTCCTGTCGCGTACAGATTCATCATTGATTTTGACACTTGTGCAGAAGTATTCAATGATATGTCTTTGGAGGAACTTGGTTCGGCAGGGTATCCTTAAGCTACATGCGTCGCACTCAAATATCCGTTAGATATTGTGGTGCATGCTCATGGAGAGCACGATTGAATTGCACAGAAAGACTGAGTCACTTCAATATATTGATATTGGCCCCCTAATTGTTATTGCAGCTCGCTGTATTGCCGTCATTACTACTGGGTCCGTGCTGCCGCCGTACAATAGATCATTGTATTGTCCGACCACTGGCAGCAGCAAACAACGTTACGCGATGTGTCGCGATGGACATATGAAGTACCTCAACGGTGATACCTGTTTGAATAAATACAATATGCTAATTCGTGGAGGTCATAGATTATGACGTTTCATGGGCAACCGAATTGCTGTGGGTCAGACCCGCAAACCTCGCCACCAGCTGTCCTTTTGCTACTAAAACGGGGGTATAAGGGTGTAGCCCCATGCTTTTAATCGCGGCCAGGTATACCGGTTTTTCTGTATAATACATGCAACAGGTTCCGCCGCAAGACCAGATTCGACAGCAAGCGATAGGTAACGACATCAAGTCGCGCATTGTATGTTACAAGGCTTCTATCGAAAAAAAAACAACATAAAAATCAAATAGAAGGCCAATTTCATCGTATACCTCGCTACTCGACGTCAACAAGAGTTGATGCATTCCACAAGTCGCGGTTGACTCGCAGAAATGCCAGAATTTCGAAGTTGGCAGGCAACAAACACGCACACTGGGGCGTCAAAATCAGCTTGCATTGCGAGAAGAGGCGCTCAACCGTATTCGAGGTTGGAGGCACCATCTTCGCAAGCTCGCTGTAGCTCACCGATTGTGCCACAGCGTTGCGCTTCTTCTTGCTCCCTCGGAGAATTTCGACCGCGTAGCTGTCCTCTTTTCTTTCGCTTGCTACCGCACGTATCCACCCCCACCTCGAAGCGGTGCAACGCGCGAGCCTCCGATGCAGTTAGGCTTCCACCGTTGATCACCTTGACCAAAGCGCCTTCAAACGTTGGTGACTGGCCATGACCAGGTAGTCGTCGATCAATGGGTCGAACAGGACACGAACATCCGCCATGGCCGTCCTGTCATCTTGGAGCACCTTGCATACACTGTCCAGCTTCTTGAGGTGCTCCGGGAGCCCGACAACTTTCTTGTGCGTGGCACCCGTGGGGATAAACTCCTCAACAGCTTCAACCTGCCTAATAGCATCACGGATTCGCTTGTAGCGATGGATCATCTCAAAGGTCGAGGACCAGCGAATGGTATTCCGTTTGATGGGTTTCAGCTCAGTGTGCTTCGCTAGCTCCGCCGCGTTATTGCAGTGACGAAGCTGCACCATGAGGTCGTTGACCGCTGCCAATTCGGCTTCATACGGAGCCAGAGACCGGTTTACCGCCAAGTTATACCGGTGGCTCGCGCACCTGACGAGTGGCAGATCGAGCAACGTGGCGATCCTTTTGTTGATGCTGCAGTTGTCAGCAACCAGGAACGCGACCATCGAAATGGTCTTGTTGTACCGAGATAGGACGCACTTGAACATCTCGATGTTGCAGCGGGGCTGCCGTAGCTTAGCGTCAGAGGAAGACGGTTAACTCAAAGAGTAAAGGGGTTAACTCAGCACCCT